CTTAGGTGACAATGTCCTCACACCCTCCTGCTGACGCTCTGCTCCCCCGAGTGCTGCTGCAATGGCCTAGGGCATTCCTCTCTTTCTTCCTTCCCATCAAGAAGAACAGAACTCTAATGCTCCCGCTCTTAGCAGCATCAAGTGTCCTATCTGGTAAGGCTTGAAGAAACCAGCTCCTCTAATGTCCCATCTCTGTGCCCAGCCTTTTTCCCCCTCAAGGTTCCATAAATACTTCATGGGGACAGGGAACAGGGGTGCACATTTCAAGGAGATGCGTCAGAAGGGACTGAGTTGGTAAACAAATCACATGACCAGAACCAGTCTATTCAATCTTTAGGAAAACACCCCACAAAAGGTTCGAGTGACCACAGGAAAATAAGAGCAGAAGAATGTTAATAAACACAAATGCCCATGACGAACACAGCGCGTTAAAGGTCCACCAAGAAGGGAAAGCATTATATTGGCTGAGTGGGCCGAGGCCACATGATTCGGCAGGTTTTCCTGTCTGGGTTCAGCATGAAGCCTTTCAGGCAGCGGCAGAAAGCAGACGTCAGGGCATTAACACACTCGTGCTGACATCCATGATTAGATGAGGCGCAGTGGTCTATCTCTGGAAGGAAAACAAGGTCCTGGGAATCATGAATAAGTCGATATGGCTAAAGCCCAAAAAAAAGAGCTTCTGGGGTCCCATTAGAGCCATGAAAACAAGGCTTCTGGGTTCCCATTTCCCCCCGTGCCTATAAAACACATGCCTTGAGATCTAGGCCCAGCAGAGCTTTCTTCAAAAAGCCACTCGTGTCTAGAGATCATGTCCTCATCACAAAGATCTTTTATTGTTTGTTATTGTTTTTTGTTTTTTCGAGACAGGGTTTCTCTGTGTAGCTCTGGCTGTCCTGGAGCTCGCTTTGTAGACCAGGCTGGACTCGAACTCATAGAGATCTTCCTGCTGAGATTAAAGGCGTGTGTCACCACCACCTGAAGGAGGTGTGGCCTTGTTGGAGGAGGGGTAACCTTGTTGAGGAGGTGTGGCCTTGTTGGAGGGGGTGTGTCACTGGGACATGGGCTTTGAGGTTTCAAAAGCCCACAGCAGGCCCACTGTCTGCTGCAGGAGGATCATGAGGTAAAAGCTCTCAGTGCCTTTAGCAGCCACTATGCTCCCTGCCATGATGCTAATGAACTAATCCTCTGAAACTGTAAGCAAACCCCCAATTAAATGCTTTATTTTATAACAGTTGCCTTGGTCATGGTGTCTCTTCACAGGTATAGACGCCTAGCAAAGGTGGAAGGAGAGAACAAACTTAATAAAGTTGTCTCCTGACCTCCACACATGTGCCAAGGCATATTTAGGCCTGCAGTCACACATCAATTTAAAAAAAATTTAAGATGGCTGGACAAATAAAGACGCTTGCTGCTATGCCTAATAGCCTAAGCTCAATCCTTGGAACCCACATAGTAAAAGGAGAAAAGTGACACCCTAAAGTTGTCCTAGATCTCCACATATTCACCATGGCACACAAGCACACACACACACACACACAAAAACAAAACAAAACAAAACAAAACAAAACAAAAACAACTAAACATGGCCTGGAGAGATGGCTCAGAGGTTAAGAGCACTGACTGCTCTTCCAGAGGTCTTGAGTTCAATTCCCAGCAACCACAGGGTAGCTCACAACCATCCATAGTGAGATCTGGTGCCCTCTTCTGACCTGCTGGCATACATGCAGACTGAACACTTTATACATAATAAATAAACAATTTTTTTTTTTTTTGGTTTTTCGATTCAGGGTTTCTCTGTGTAGCTTTGGAGCCTATCCTGGCACTCTCTCTGTAGACCAGGCTGGCCTCAAACTCACAGAGATCCGCCTGCCTCTGCCTCCCGAGTGCTGGGATTAAAGGTGTGCGCCAACAACGCCTGGCTGTAAATAAACAAATCTTTAAACAAATAAATGTAATAGTATTTTTAAAATTTAAAGTCTGGAAGGAAATGAAACAAACTGGGATTAATGATATTTGTCTCTGGCCAATGGAGTCTAGATGATTTTATTTTCCGTAACTTCATTTCTGTAAGAATGAGCTGTCTACAATAAACGTGTCTTTACTTTTGTAATGAAAATAAATATATCTATTCATGATTACAAAACTAGTTGCCATGGAAAATAGCAAATGATACAGAAAAAAAGAACAGTGTAGGCGGTATCCAGAAATCTGAAAAGAAAATAATCAGTGAACATGGCTAAGAATACTATACAAAGCCAGAGCTGGGCTCTTTTTCTTCTTTTTCTCTTACCGTGCCCCAACACAAATTAAGTCCTGTAAGGACTGAGATATAAGCCCTGTGCACAACTGCCTATCTAGCATATAGCAGGTACTGAATACATATGGCTGAATGAATAAATGTTATTGTTACTACTCCTACTAGAGTAATACCTCGTGGGTATTCTGTGTGGATGCGTGTCTGTGCACCACGCGCAAGCCTGGTGCCCTTGGAGTCTAGAAGAAGGTGTTTGTTGCCTTTGAACTTGAGCTGGGAATCACAGGGGTGTCCTCTGGAAAATTTTTTTTATATATATATATATATATATATATATATATATATATATATAATAAATCCCAGCCAATGTGTTTGCAGGTGGGGCTTCTCTCTGCTGGGATGTGTTCAGCTGATTTGGCAAAGAATTGTTCTAAAAAGGAGGTTCTTCTTTGGTTTTGTTCTTTATACTTGATTTTAAACACAAGTGATTGTTTGTTTTTTGTTTTTGTGTTTTTCAAGACAGGGTTTCCCTGTGTGGCCCTGGCTGTCCTGGAGCTTCTTTTATAAGCCAGGCTGGCTGGTTTTGAACTCAGAGATACCCATGCCTCTGCCTCCCGTGTACTGGGATTAAAGGTGCTCGACACCAGAGACCATGTCTTCCTATAGAGCTTGGATGGCTTGAAATTTGCCACACAGACCAGGTTGGCCTTAAACCTGCAGTGACCCACCTGCCTCTGTCCCCACCAGGGCTGGGGTTACTGGTGTGTACTGCCACACTTTGCTGTGACTTTTGGATGCCACTAATCTCTGTGGAATTACATTGCTTGCTCAGGACATGGCACATTTTGACCCAATAACATATTTGTCATGCTTGGTGTGTTACCTTGACTAGAGAACCTTCTACAGACAGCATATGTACGGGCTACTAATTGGCTTTGACTTTAAGTATATTTTATTTACAGAGCTGACTCAGCAGTTAAGAGTGCATATAGCATGGGCTGGAGGGATGGCTCGGTGGTTAAAAGCACCAACTGCTCTTCCGGAGGACATGGGTTCAATTCCCAGCACCCACATAGCAGCTCGTAACTGTAACTACAGTTCCAGGGGACCTGACACCTTTACACAGGCAAAACAACAATGCAAAATAAATAAATAAATTAATTTTTTTAAAAAAAGATTGAATATAGCTCTTGCAGAGGACCCAAGTTTGGTTCCCAGCACCTATACCTAGTGGTTCACAAAC